TAAAACAACGAGTATTTTTGAAAACTCTTACTAAAAAATATTGGTAAACATAATTGTCTTTTAAATTATTTTTAAATTAAACAATAATTAAAGTTAAAGCCTATATACGTCCCAATGCTGAGCACAGGCCTCTCCTCATTTCTGACAGGGTTTTAGGGCAAGGAAACGTCCGCCGCGCTGCCCCAATGCGTGTTGACGAACTTAACGTTTTCGAAATTTTTATTTTATTTCTCAGACGTGCAAGTTTCCTGACGATGTTTTTCTTCACCGCCGAGCACGTGGTAAATCAGCACTTAAAATTTCAATTAGCAATTTAATTGGTGCCGGCGGGGATCGAACCCGGGTTGCGCGTACTGTGAAATTTACAGCAAGCGCTAACCATCTGAGCTACCACGGCTCACTAATAATTATCTACTAAGAACTATAACCTAACATTTTCATACATTTATAATTTAATTTGTTTAATAAATATACTAAATTATAAACTGTGTAAATCATTTTTAAGCAATAAGCATCGATATATCGCATATGTTTTCGGTATATAAAACTCCGATATTGATGTATTTATAATTATCGCTACATTGAAAATCCGATATTTTAAAAATGTCAACAGTCCTAATTTGAACTGATCACTTGGAATGATCAGTTGAACTGATGTCAGTTTAACTGACCGTGTGTGGGGACCATAAGTATGTAAATCTAGGTACAAGAAGCCAATATTTTAAAATAGTAAGAGCAATGTGGGGGTTTAATTTATATAATTTATCAACGTGGTTTAAAAATTGATCAAATTTTGTTTTTAAAACAGGTTTAATACTATCGAAAAACAACGGGGCACCTAGCAGGTATAGTGATTCTGTACTGACAGTTTTTAATCCTAGAGAAATATGATTGAAATTTTGAATTAAAGTGTCTCTATGAGAAGTAAATAAATTATTGGAAAAAAATATTTCACATATTGCTATTTGGTTCAAGACCAATATTTTTAAAATTTCGAAAAATATGGGTAAGATCACTAAGGACGTCATCAACTCTACCTCCCAGTGTACCGTCGCCAGATACCAGACATTCAGCTTGGATTTCAAATTTGAAATAATGGGTTGAATTCCCAAACTGAAAAGTGCTGGACCTAGTGGATCACCCTGCTGAACACCAACAGCAGAATCGATAACATGGTTTTCGTAAAAGAAGTTAGTAGATATTTTGAATGTAACATTGCCAAACGTAATGATTAATTTGGGGGTATTGTTAGCCACTTCTTTCAGCAAGGTTACGCTATCGATAGAGTTAAAAGCATTCCTTAGGTCAACCTTCACAAGAACATCTGCATCAGAGTTTGTTAAAAATGTACCTACGCACTGAATGTATCGCCACCTCTAGTGCCAAAGCCTAGGTAAGTAGGCTGAAATTTCGTCTTAAGGTTAGAGATTATGTGCCTGAAATTTCGTCTTAAGGTTAGAGATTATGTGCCTGCAAGCTAATTTTGAAGTTAAGCATCGAAGTGTGGAAACAACGGCAATAGGACGGATACCGTTATCCTTTTTTTTTTGAAGGCACTTAGTCTTGCCCCATATAAGAATGCAATGAAATTCGGATTAACATTACCAGAAAGCATAAAGTTACATAATTTTGTAATGTCATTAAGAAGTACTCCGCCGGCGTCACAGGCAGAAGCGCTTACAATATCTTTAAGATGTTGAGGCGTAATTCTGTCAAAGCCGCCAGCAGAGCCATTCGAAAATTACATAATTGCTTCTATAGTGTCTTTTTCAGAAATTTGTAAAGGTTGTATAGAAATCTTGGGAGGCAGCGGTAAACCCTGAGAAGATTTGACCGAATGATGTTTCTGACGAAGGCTTTCAAGAGTTTCGACATTACTAGAAGCCAGGATGTCATCTGAGAATAAAATACAGGATTCATTTTTTAAGTTGCCATCCATTATTTTCGACTCAACAACTTTTTTTTAATCAAATTTAGAACGTGGCCGAGCTAAATGAGTATTAATTGGGTAATCTAAATTTTGAAAAGATGCCTCTTTTAGTCGAGACGTAATGTGGTAATGTGGATCATTGAAGTAGTATCTATTATTTATTCTATGGTAATGTGTTGGAAGTACCTACATTAAACTTGAATATGTGAGTCATATGAGAATACTGCACTAACGGGAACCCTATGAGGCGGCGTATGTATTGGTGTCGCCTCCTCCCAGGGACTTGAAGACGAAGTTTATTTCCTATTTATCAATTGGCGCTCCGAACTCCTACTGTAAGGTTGTCATATTCCTCCCAGTGAGTAGGTAATACAAAGGTTCAACATTAGGCAGTTTAAGCTTGAAGTTGTTTGTCCGGTCCTGTCCGACGGGGTGAACAGACCTCACACGTCGTAATATACCTTCCGGCTTTCGCATATATGAGAGACCCGACAACCGAGTGCCACCATTGTGGTAGCAGCAACGAGGATAGTGACCTGCTTTAATGGAGTACCTAATGTTACAGCCTTAATAAAGGCTATGGTTTGATGCGAGAGGTCGCGGAGCTTTCATATTATCTATCTTACGCAGGATTAGCGTTTTGTACGGGAGGAATATAAAGTCAATTTATTTTTGTAAAATATATTTAATTAATCAAAGTATGCACCGTTATTATCTATGCACTTTTCCCATCTCATAGGTAGTTCGTTGATCCCTTTACTAAAAAAAAAAACCATGGGGGCGAGAATCAATAAACTCTTTGAAGGCGGTTTGGACTGCCGCATCAGAGTTAAATTTTTTTCCTTGTAAGTTGTCCAAATTCCGGTCTGTTGTAATCTGTTGGAGCAAGGTCCGGGGAGTACGGTGGATGTCGCAGATATTCCAATTGTAGCTCATCTAACTTAGTGGTTATTTGTTGTGCAGTGTATGGTCTTGCGTTGTCGTGAAGCAGCTTTGGACTAGAGCGATTGACCAATCTGGGTTGTTTAGCAGCTAGTTCTTCCTTTACAGTTTGCAGTTGCTGACAATAGATATCTCCCGTAATCGTTTGGCCAGATACTAGAAAGCTGTAGTGAACGACACCGACGCTAGTCCACCAAACACACAACTTTCCTGAGTCAATTTTCGTTTAGGGCAGGATTTGGCTGGGTCTCCAGGGTTCAGCCATTGCGACGAGCGCTTCCGATTTTCGTACAGTATCCACTTTTCATCACAAGTAATGATTCGATTTAAAATCCCTTCATTACTGTCTCGGTTGAGCAAGGTAACACAGCAGTCGACGCGTGTTTGTAAGTTCGATTCACTCAATTCATGAGGTACCCATCGATCAAGTTTTTTACTTTCCCGATTTGCTTCAAGTGGATTAATACAGTTTTATCACTTACCCCGAAGCCTGCAGCTATTTCTGAAGTGCTTTGGGATGGATCCGCTTCCACAATAGTCTTTAATTCTTCATTTTCCACTTTGGCCTCCGGCTGTCCACGGGGTTGGTTCTGAAGGTCGAAATTTCCAGAACGAAAACGTTGAAACCAAAAACGTACCGTGCTTTCTTTTACAACACCTGCACCGTACACATCATTAATCCTTCGAGCTGTTTCTGCAGCACTGGTACCACGGTAGAACACGTACTCGTCAATATACCGATATGTCATGTTTTCCATTGTGCGATAATAAGCGACGCCAAAGAAAAAAATAATGAGGAAAAAACAAATGAATGACTGTTTTCAAAACTCAAATGTACCTGCTAAATGAATTTATAAATTTGAATTTGGAATTCTTAACCAAAGAGTGGTCAGTACGACAAAACGCTAATTTCATAACAAAACAAAAGAAACTCACTCATCAATACTTACAGGGTGAAAAACACGCTAACTAACTATCTACCTGGTTGTTTGTGGCTACTGCAGCCCAGGCACACTTGCGATCCATTTAAAACAATTATGGCTACAAGATGCGTTGTGATCAAGCTGAATACTAAGATAAAACGCCCCATAGTTTGTAATTAGACTATCAGTCTTTTGATCCGCTTGTGGGTGCTGTGGTAGTTTATTTTTCTGCCTAGGCCTTTATTTCTATCTATTTTCAGCTTAGGAGTCCCTCTGGGTAGCATCCTTACGTATTTCTGCCGCCAAATCGTAGTGCCCGCTTTGCTGTAATCTGAAAGGTATAGAAACAGTATAATTGTAGACTGTTTCTGTTTCTGTGAGGCATTCCATCATAGTCCTCAGAGATGTCGACGCATCTGTTGGCTTCTTTGTTTGAAGTTAGCTGCATGTATACATGGACTGTAGTAGCCACTTACCATTAGTGCTCTATAAGGTGGTTTGTCACTTCAGTTTTATAAAAATATATATTTTTACAAGTAAAGGTAACAAACAAGTTCCGAGTCTACACGATGGTAAGTAGACGTTGTAGCCTGTAGTCTAAAGCAAGCATATATTCATCCTCGATTAAGCATCATAACGCAGATGCGAAGATTATTAGGAATGCCTGGTTAATAGGAAAAAGATTCTGCTGTTCTAATTACCTTTTGACTAACCGTACAATTACAGCAACATAATACTGCTATTTCGCTGGTATCTGGAAAGATTGAGCTCCTTTCCTGGTCAAGACGACCCATTCATGTTGCAGCCATAATATAGCTGCAGCGTGGTTTAAACACGTACCGATCTTCTGGTTTAGAGATAACTTTTGCAATGTTAAAGTTACGATCATAATTAAGGAATGTAAGTCGGTGGAGCGGAATGAATATATTTCGTCGCTGTATTTTCAATCACAAATCCCATCCTCGCCGAAAGAACATGACTAATAATTTCGAGATTTCGAGTGGAACCATACCATCCAATTAACATGCGTGGAGAGGCACTGTTTTAGAAATGAGCATAGGAAGTACTGTCGAACCTGTGTGGACTATACTGCCGATTAATAATAACAATAACTGGTTTTTATCTAGATGCGCTTATTTATGTATCTATCGCTTTATAAAGGAGACGGCATTACAACAAAATTGTAGTCGGAAAGCTTCATCACAATGAAGCTCTCGTGTGCTTTAGTGTTGACCCTAACGAACTTTGTGATCGCTACCCCATTTAGTTTCAGTGCGAAAGGTAGCGGTGCGTCAGCGAAAGGTTGGTTTCTTACAGTTTACTTTTGTTTATATATCTAATATTTACATATAATGTTATATACATATATAATTTTATGTTGACTTAAATTATAATTAATAGTATTAAGCTTTAGAATAAAATAATTGAAATGCTAATTATGTACTACTTTCTTGTTTAACTTTAATGTTTTTAGTAATATATTGTTCGTTAAATTTTATAATAAATTATTAATTTCCGCCATTCATATTTTCCTCAATCCATTATAACTTTACATAATAAATCACACTGATGACAATTCTTGCTATAATAAGCCTTATTTACCAGCAAAGTAATTTTATATATTTAAAGCCTATTATAATAAAAAGTTAAAGCGTAATTAAGTACCTAAATTTATATAAAATTGTGTGATATCAATATATTGGAGTGACATTTTCATGATCACTTATTTAAGATAACACAATTAACAAAAATGCTTTAGCACTCCAGGAAAAGATTTGGCAGCCCGACTATATTAGGGGTTCAAATACAATTTTTAGGCGCTATAATCATATAAATATAGTATTTTTCCTACATATTATTTTGGCTCAAAGCTGCAAAAATATTCATTTTCAATATAAAATATTATTGCCATCATTATTCACTCTAGTCCTATTATATTTATATATCATATTATTATCTCACTTGTCCTATTATTCACTCACAACTTCACAGCTGAACATAATAGTGAGGGCCCAAGGAATGCCATAAAACACAGTCCTGTGACACTTGCATTCATCTACTTCCTGCATGTCTTACTTGATCGTCACTCCATATATTAAAACATAGGTACTACCTATATGTTATCTTTAATTTTTTTTGATATAATATTATATTATTTTTAGAGGTAATAGCCATGTGAATATTTATTTATTTACTCTTTATCGTTAAACCTTCCCATAACTAAGGTAACAATGGGAGACCGGTCAACCCGTCTTTATTAACCGACTTCAAAAAGAAGGAGGTTCTCAATTCGAGTGTATGTTATTTTAATGTAAAATGGCATACACAATATATATTTCTAATTTAAGGGGTTGATTTTTCAATCGTCAGATAAAAGTTAATAATATTAAGGAACAAACCACTGAGACATTGTTTTATGTAGGTATTAATATAGAAATCGATAAACTTTTATTTAAACTGCAACTTCTCAGTTATACCACAGAATAGAATTATACGAAATTGTGTAACAAAAAATTCACCTCACTCCCAACTAGCGACGTCTGGTGACCGGAAGCCGTTATTCAAATACACTTATGGACAATTGTAGAGGAACGCAAAAAGAAGGTTTAATTTCTCCTATTGTAACTATCGTGGCTACTTTTAAAAAAATGTTGGTTTTAAAGTTTAGGATATTTTTTTGTTTTCGAATTTCATTTGTTTATATGTAATTATTGCATAATATTGCCTTATTATTTCATAATGAGAAAGATTTTGCCTTTTTTATCGTATTAAGTGTGACTTGTTACTGCAAATAAACTGAGACTGCCAGATCTTAACGCCACTCCAGTTGCTAGGGTCGTTACTTTAATTGAACGTGGAAACACCTACATATAGCCCAATCACTATCAAAGGTATCAAAATCTGTGGTATACCGAGTTGTCAAGACAACGAGACTCGCAGGACAAGGACGTAAATGGAAAACTGTGTGAAACAGAAATTACCACTTCATCGTTGTGCTTAGAAACCGGACCTTATTTTCTTCTGAGGTAAGAACGAAGTTAAAAGAAATTTGAGGGGTTACAGTTAGCACAAAAACTGTGAGAAAATTCTGAAATCGGCTGAAATCTGCCAAAATGCTGCCCTAATTAATTTTGCTCGCAATCACGAAAATTGGAATGACGAAGCTTGTAGTCAAGTTCTATTCACAAATGAGTCCAGATTTTGCCTGAAGCCAGATGATGGAAGGATTAAACTGTGGAGATGAAGGTACACTCAGTGCAAGATAATGGGGAAAGAGGCATATGGTGGAGGGTCAGTACGAAACTCCGCCTCATTGAGAATGGGTCACTAACAGCAGCATATGTAACTGAGATTTTGGAAGAAATTTTAGTGCTAATTGTCCATTTTATAGGAGAAAATGTTTTTTTAAATGCATGATAATTTCACGTTCTCATAACTTAGAGACGTTAAAATCATCAATGCTATTAAGAAGACAAATTAAGAAAAGAAATCCTGTCCCCGCTAATTTGAAAGATCTTAAAAACGTAGTCTCTCAAGATTTTATTGATAACTTGATTAGGAGTATGCCAAGGAGACTAGAACTAGAAGGAAAGAAAAAAACCTGCCTACGTATTAAGACAGCCTTTCCTAAGTATTTATGAAAAAATGAATAAAATGATAAGCACAAACATGGTTCTTTTTCGTAAAATTTGTTTTTGTTCTTAATTTGGTTAATTTTTGTCAATTGATGATTTTTTACGATGTTTGCAATTTTAAATTAACAAATAATAAGCAAAATCCAAATTAATAAACTTATTTGTCACAAGATATCCTCGATATTTTGTTTTTTGTTTTATATACACTTTTTTGCGTTCCTCTAAATTTGTCGATGAGTAAATTTTATTTATACCACTGTTAATTTAATTTATGTTGTATTTTGTATGAATCATTTTTATCTTAGAAATATCAGTATAAAAATTACTACAAAGTAATTTAATACCTAGCATTGCCATATATATATCTTTTTAAATTAACAGTGTACGTAATAATAATTCAATTTATGTGTATTATATATATTTTATTATTATATAATATTGAAATTTAAGCTATTAAAATTAAAAACAAATTTATTTAAAATGGCCGGATTTAGCTTTGATATAAGCTTTTTGTCTCTCTGGCCAAAAATCTAAGTCTCCATGGGGGATTTAGCCAGTATTAGCTGTAAAGATTTTCGAAGATACGCACCACAATTTGTAGTCAAACGGGTTCAGATGTGAATCGGACAAGAGTCTTCAGCTTTTATAAAGTCCGAAACGTTCTCTCAGGACAATTTTTAGTTGTTTATGCCTTGTAACCAGGAGAAAGAGTCTTGCTGGAAATCCCATACACATTTTCAAATGTGTCACTGAAAACATTCGCTATACGATCTAAGACAGTCTCTTGATAAACTTAGACCAAAGTCACTATTGATTTAAAAAAAAAATCAAGGTACGTGTGACCCCTTTTTTATAGGATAGGGTGACAAAAGAGGACACAGTCCACCTGATGGTAAGTGGTTGCTGTGGCCCATAGACATCTACATCTATCCTCGTTTGCTAATCAAAATGTAGATGTGTTGTCACTCGTGAGGACTAAAATGGAATGCCTCTTTTCCAGTAAAAAGGGTATCCGGTTTTCTATACTCACCATACGAAACACAGTAGAGTTAAGCTGCTATTTGACACTGGTATTCTGTGAGAGCGTGGTCCTTCCCCGGTCGAGCCGATCCATTCGTGCTACAACTATACTACTAATATAGCTGCAGCATGGCTCTACTACTTACGGAACCCTTGGTAGGACACCCCTGCCTAACCATGACTAATGCAGGATAATCACCGTTGAACTTTTCTAACAAGTTGCTAGGCTTTTTTAGAGATGTGAGCGCACACTTATTCATTTTGCCTGTTGTAGTGCTTCTTAAAAGTGAACTTTATCATTTGTAAAGAGCACATGCTTTTATCCTCCACCAGCGAGATTTTTTATATATCAGAGAGATTTTTTATATTTGAGAGACGAAAAATTAGTGAAATGGCGGCAAATAGATCGAAGTGTTTTTATGAACATGAAACACGTTCTAAGGAATTCAGAAAATAGTACTTTTTAAGCTATAAATATTTAATTTTATTATTTTAATGTCTTCATTATAATTATCTTATTTATGCCAAAGTCAATTAGAATAAAGATAGTATAAGCTAACAAGAACTGTTTTTAAAAGGTATTTTCATATAAATGCAATATAATTGTTATCAATGTCTTTTTAGCTGGTGCGGTGACTGCTCCATTCGGAACATTTGGAGTAGTGCAACCTGTTGCATCAAATGCCGGTTATACGGGCAGTTTCTCCAAATCTTCATCATTAAGCTCTGCGTCAGGTGGCACTGCTTTGAGCCCAGGTTCATTTAGTTATAACAGTGCTCAAGATAATCGGGCTCCTTGGCCTGGATATGGTACAAGTTTTACCACTCAAGCTCAAGCTGTTGGCCAAAATGTATTAACGTTCCCGCAAGTAAATAAGAATTCTATCACGAGTTTTAGTGATACCAGTGTTGTTGCTACAACTGGAGCTAATGGCCAAACTGAAATAACGGGTTCTTATCCATCTGAAAACTCTAATGATCTAAATGTAAATAACAGTGGCGCTTCAAGGCTTCAATACCAACGTCCATCCGAAACACAAGAAAAAATTCCTAGCTCAACTTTAAGTTCGCTAACAAGTGAAACACACGAAAGCTCAAAACCTAACACTCCAGATTTTCCATCAATTTTAAAAGTACCTGGACAATCAGACAATTTTAAAGAAACGTCGAAGGTGCAAAACGTATCTAGCCAAATTGTTACAAGTGGCTCTGCCTATCTCACATCTTTTCCTAATGCCGCTGTTGGAAATATAGTCCCACAGACTACAGTGGCATCTAGTGAAAATTATCAGATTGGTGAGCAGAAACCGAATTATAATGGTGGCTTTGGAGGACCTCCAGGAATACTGAAGCCTTTTGATAAAGGTTCTAATTTCAAAAATAGTGATTCGGTTAATGCCTTCCTAACTCATAAACCTAATGTGCAATTAAGTTCACCTGTTACGACGAAACCACAAGGCTTTAACAATTCTCCTGAAAACACTATAAAACTATCATATGTTTATACAAATAAAGGGTCAACAGACACAATAAAACCCACTGATCAACCACTCAGCAGCGGATCTTCGAACTTTAACGCTGGTACTTCATATAAACCTGAAAGAAATCCCACTCAAACCTCCCAAATTAAACCTACACTTGCAAACAACGTTGGAAAACCATCAAGTGTATTAAAACCAAATGAAGATCAACTTTACACCTTGCAACATTTCGATGAAATTACTCAAACGAGTGATGGAACATTGACACAATCATTTGAAGACTCATCTAAACCTCAATTTTCCTCGCAGATTCCTTCAAAGTTCAATAAACCTACCATTGATACATTCAGTCAATCAAAACTAATTAATGGAGTTCAAGTCTCTGTCCAGGCGTATCCTAGCAATGACCCTAATTCTTCCTCTGACTACAACGTTAATTATGAGAATACTAATGTCGGTAATGAATCTTCTGAAAAATTATTAAACAAACCAACCAAACAGTCCTTATACGCCAGTGGTTTTGGAGCACCAACAGCGGTAGTGGAGCCTGTAAAATCTGAAGTGAACAATACATCAAAACCGTACCTTGGATTTACAGTCACAAGTCAAAAGGAAACTACAAACACAGGAGGTTCATCAAATATTTTATCAGCATCACAACAGCCATCTGTCGTTAGTACTAATTATTATACGACCCCTACTCCCTACATTTCAAGTATTTCTACAACAGATAAGAGTGATTATGTTACTACTACTGTGCAATCAGAAACAAACCAACCTTCCAACAATTCTTCTCAAAGCAGTTCATTCAACCTTACATATCAAAAAAATCCATCATTATTTAATGTAGCCTCCTCGGGAGTACAAAGCTCTACACTTAGCTCAAATTCTTATCCCGTCAAACCTCAATCTCAATACCCAGAAAAGCAGGTATCTGAGTTGGGATCGCAGAAAAAACCTTTCTTCTCAAATTCTTTTGGGACATTTGTTACGCCAAAACCCACTAGTTATTCAGGTAGTACAGCATATACTTCTTTCTCTTCTCTTGGATACGGACATAGTGGTGTATCTGGGTCATTAGATAAATCGAAACCTACTAGTCAATTTACATTTACGAATCAATACAAACCGTCATTCACAAACAGTTTTGGGGGACAATCTGGAGTACTTAAACCTTCCAACCAACTTACTCAAACCAGTAGCACATTTATTTCTTCCAACCAACCCACAAATTACAAACCCGTTGTTACACCTTCACCTTTAAATACAGCTAAAGCAAATGAAGAAATTTCGGTTACCAATGAGAAAAATTCTTCAATAGTAAACGATTACGAAACAGTTTCTAGTTTGTCACAACAATCAAGTGATACGGCATCAACACAGCCATCTATCGTTAGTACTAACTATTACACGTCCCCTGCCCCCTCTATTTCATCAGAATCACCAATCTTTGGGAGTAACGTTGAACAACATAAGTATGCTTCTGGTTCTGCTATTTCAAATACTTCTGAAACAGATAAGAAGAATAATGTTACTGCTACAGTGCAAACAGAAACAAACCAACCTTCCAAAAAACCTTCTCAAAGCAGTTCATTCAACCTTACATATCAAAAAAATCCATCGTTGTTTAATGTAGCCCCCTCAGGAGTACAAAGCTCTATATATAGCTCAAATTCTTATCCCATCAAACCTCAATCGCAATTCCCAGAACAACAGGTATTTGAGTTTGGATCGCAGAAAAAACCTTCATTTTCAAATTCTTTTGGAACATTTGTTACCCCAAAACCTACCAGCTATCCAAGTAGTACAGCATATACTTCTTTTTCTTCTCCTGGATACGGAAATAGTGGTGTATCTGGGTCGTTAGATAAATCGAAACCTACAAGTCAATTTACATCTACGATTCGGTACAAACCCTCATTTACAAACAGCTTTGGGGGACAATCTGAAGTACTTAAACCCTCCAACCAACTTACTCAAACCAGTAGCACATTTGTTTCTTCTAACCAACCCACAAATTACAAACCCTTTGTTACACCTTCACCTTTAAATACAGCTAAACCAAATAAGGAAATTTCGGTTACCGATCAGAAAAATTCTTCAATAGTAAACGATTACGAAACAGTTTCTAGTTTGTCACAACAATCAAGTGATACGGCATCAAAACAGCCATCTATCATTAGTACTAATTATTACACGTCCCCTGCCCCCTCTATTTCATCAGAATTACCAAGCTCTGATAGTAACGTTGAAGAACATAAGGATGCTTTAGGTTCTGCTATTTCAAATACTTCTGAAACAGATAAGAAGAATAATGTTACTGCTACAGTGCAAACAGAAACAAACCAACCTTCCAACAAACCTTCTCAAAGCAGTTCATTCAACCTTACATATCAAAAAAATCCATCGTTGTTTAATGTAGCCCCTTCAGGAGTACAAAGCTCTATATATAGCTCAAATTCTTATCCCATCAAACCGCAATCGCAATTCCCAGAACAGCAGGTATTTGAGTTTGGATCGCAGAAAAAACCTTTATTTTCAAATTCTTTTGGAACATTTGTTACGCCAAAACCTACTAGCTATACAGGTAGTACAGCATATACTTCTTTCTCTTCTCTTGGATACGGAAATAGTGGTGTATTTGAGTCGTTAGATAAATCGAAACCTACAAGTCAATTTACATCTACGATTCGGTACAAACCCTCATTCACAAACAGCTTTGGGGGACAATCTGAAGTACTTAAACCCTCCAACCAACTTACTCAAACCAGTAGCACATTTGTTTCTTCTAACCAACCCACAAATTACAAACCCTTTGTTTCACCTTCACCTTTAAATACAGCTAAACCAAATGAGGAAATTTCCGTTGCAGGTCAGAAAAATTATTCAACAGGAAATGTAAACGGAACAGGTCCTAGTTTGTCACAACAATCAAGTTATACAGCATCACAACAGCCATCTGTCGTTAGTACTAATTATGATACAACCCCTGCTCCGTTTATTTCAAGTACTTCTAAAACAGATAAGAATGATTATGTTACTACTGCAGTGCAATCAGAAACAAACCAACCTATCAATAAACCTTCTCAAAACAGTTCATTTAACCTTACATATAAAAAAAATCCATCATTATTTAATGTAGCCTCCTCAGGAGTACAAAGCTCTTCACTAAGTTTAAATTCTTATCCCATCAAACCTCAATCGCAATTCCTAGAACAGCAGGTATCTGAATTGGGATCGCAGAAAAAACCTTTCTTCTCAAATTCTTTTGGGACATTTGTTACGCCAAAACCCACTAGTTATCCAGGTAGTACAGCATATACTTCTTTCTCTTCTCTTGGATACGGAAATAGTGGTGTATCTGGGTCATTAGATAAATCGAAACCTACAAGTCAATTTACATCTACGAATCAGTACAAACCCTCATTCACAAACAATTTTGGAGGACAATCTGGAGTACTTAAGCCTTCCAACCAACCTACTCAAACCAGTAGCGCATTTATTTCTTCCAATAAACCCACAAATTACAAACCATTTGTTACACCATCACCTTTAAATACAGCTAAACCAAATGAGGAAATTTTAGTTACAGATCAGAAAAATTCTTCAATAGTGAAAGATTTCGGAACAGGTTCTAGTTTGCCACAACAATCAAGTAGCAATAAAAATTCTTCTACTTCTTTCGTTATATTAGAACCAACTCATTTTGTAAATACTTCTGGTCAAAGTATTGCTAGCACGACTGCTGGTCTTATTGTGTCAATTGGTTCAGAGTCCAAATTTTCTGAAAACTCGGAACCTACCACATCAAAAACGCCGTCACTTTCAGAAGGGTATGATGTTTCAACAAAAGAATTGGATTCTGGTAAAACTTCAGACAATATTCAATCTCAATTTCTAACTAAGCCTTCCGTTGAGACCGCCCCTCAAGAAAAACCTTTGTACACAAGTAATTCTTATTCAGGGGTAACTGATGTTTCTTCGTCGACTGCTAATTTTGCGCAAAGTACTAGTTTTGTAAATGAATCAAAGGAAAAACTTAAGCAAACAAGTTCATCCATAAGTCAGAATAAACCTCAATTCAGCGGTGGATTTAAAGAACAAAAAGGAGTATTTCATTCGAAAGAACCATATCCTATTGGCGCCGTTTTTGTTTCTTCAAATACACCTCTGACTTCTATACCTTTTGTATCTCCTGCACCATTAAATACATCACAACAAACTATTACAAGCCAAAAAGAATCTGAATTAAATAATTATAATTTGGAATCAGTCACTGGCTTTTTAGAACCCACTAAACCACCATCTTACAATGGTTATCAGGTAAATAGCAGTGGAGTTACACCAAAACCATCTGATTCTGGTAGCTTTCCTAGTAAAACTTATACTGGAACTACCTCGTCATCAACGGCTTTTACTCAGCAATTTCCTTACAAACCATTGTCTGGAAGCTCTTTAGATACTAGTTCTGTTTCTACATATTCTGATAAACAAAAAGTCGAAGAAAAGGAAAAAACAGGCGTATACAATACACAAAAAAATAATTCTGTTTCGTTAGGAGAGCAAAAGCCTACAAGCCAGACTTTTTCCAGTAATTCATATTTCCCAACGACTGGATCAGCTTTTATCTCTGGTTCATCTCAAAATAAGCCACAAAACCAATATCCAGCAAAACCAATTTTTCAACATACTACTCAGACACAACCGTGGTATTTAAACACTTACCAATCATTTGGAGCAGTCAAACCATTTAGTTACTCTTATCCAGGTTTTTCCTCATCTAATTTTGGACACAGTTCTAGCATAGTAACTGGAGCATTCGACAAAACGAATAAGAACTCTCAATTCTCGTCAACGTGGCAGTACAAACCGTCATACAACTGGGGGAAACAAAAACCTTCTAACCAACCTACTCCTTACTCACCTACCACTTTTAAGCCATTCACATCGTTTGATAGATCAAAACTAAGTAGCACCTCATCAGTTACAAGTCAAAAACAGCCTTCGTTAGCAGGAGGTTTTGGATCATCCTTTAGTATTTCGAAACCAACAAACCAACAATTTATAGATGAATCTGCTTATCTAACTGGTAACGCTAAAGTCTCTTCAACATCTCCCTTGACACAAACACCAAATGATTTTAATTATGTCAGTCAAACTTCAAATAAACCTTTCTCTGTAAGCCCTTTAACAGGTGGATACTCGTATTCACCAAATGTTAGCCCAGTAGTTGTTTCTACAACATCTAAATACGAAATACAGAAACCAACTAGCCAAACATTTTCTAATGCAGCGACTTCAAGTTTGATTTTAGAAGAGCAAACTTCTGAGCTGAGCACACAAAAACCAATCGTTGAACTGGTTCCGTCTTCAGAAGGGTTTGAAAAAGACTATGGGAATTCGAAACCCACTACCCAGTCCTTCAATTACTTTAATCGACCAATCGATTTTAGGACTCCAAGTATTGAAAATAAAGTAATAACAAATTCATCAGACACTTCCGAAAGTATGACTACTGGTGCTACTGGTTCAACGGCTTCAGAAGTCCCCAAAACATCCAACTTAGACTATGGTGCTCAAGAAAATAATGATTCAAAATATTTAGATGCTTCTGATAAAGCGATACTTACCTCACAACGCGAACAATCTTCTTATAAACCAACTTACTCAACCAGCGTCGTATCTGGATTTTCTAACGAACAAAAAGTAAGTCCCGCAGTTGTTTCTGCAACTGAGACAAACCATGTCTATCCCGATTCTACTGAATCAGCAATTTATGTCCCATCAAAGTCGCCGGGTCAACAATTTTCAGGAAACTCCGCTTTATTTAATATACAACAGGATGCCTTCCATTTATCGAAACCCAACATACAAAATTCAGTAATAGGTCAACCAAGTAGTACTACTGTTCAACTGCCATATGCAGGTGGTTTTGGAGGTCCAGCGGGTATTTTAAAACCAAATGAATTCAGTGCTCCCATAAACCACATAAACATCCCATCTCAATATAATCCAAGCCATTATAACCAAGCCTTGACAACTCCCCACCGTGAACCTAATTCAGCTTCATATTCTGGGGGATTTGGTGGGTCGTCAGGTGTACTGAAACCTGTTCAAAATGAAAAATACACTAGCTCTGGTCATGTCGTTAATGACAACAAGTACTTTTCAATTGCACATAACAGTAGGCTTCAAGGTACCTTAACTGAAAATGCTGGTCATTCAAACTATAATTTAGTACCTAATAAATCTTCTACCGAAGCGCAGTCCAACTTCGAAGAACGAAACTTAGGATCTAAAGCTACAGAAGAAGCACAAAGAGGAGTTGTAAATCAAGCAAGTGTCGCTGCTGCTGATGCTACAGGCGAATTTATTAACCACAGTCACAATGTCCAAAATTTGGGAATTCCTTTAAACAATGGTGCTAGCAGTGGCTTCGGATTAGAATTCCCAAAAAACAATAAATCTTTCAATGATCCGATTAGTGGATTAAAAATATCCGGATTGACACCGAGTACTCAGGGCTCCACTGAAACTGGTATTAGTTCTAAAGCTTTTGGAAAAAGTTTAGCACCTGGTTCAGCTACCGGGCAGGATTCTTCTGGATTTACTGCTAAAAGTGGTATGTTGCTTTAATTACTTTTTTGTATTAGTAAATATCAAGTAATTAAAATTTAACATTTTATTTGAAACAACTCGATTTTTTATTAACTCATTTTTTCATTTATAAAATGTTTTTTTTTTGTATTCTACTAACCTTTTGTAGAATTTCAAGATACTGTATACAATATTGAACAGTATAGTTTTAAACCCTCTTGAAATTCTACAAAAGGTTACTAAAACACAAAACAAATATAAAATTACATTTCATGGACATGTTTTGGCTATAGCGCTAATATAAATTAATATTGATCGCAAGTTATGTTTTTAAATCATGATACTCCGACTAGAGGCAACCGAATTTCCCCGGTCCGAAAAATAACTAAGGCACTAGCCCCATCGCCGACGAGGAAGCTATTAGCTATCGTCTATTTTCTCGCTCAAGAAAGGAACAATAGATATAGAACCCATGTCAATAAAAAGGATACATATAGTAATAGTTGATAGCTGGCTGTTCACACTGCCAGCGAGAACTCTCCACTAGTTTGTCGCAGCGACAAGAGCTATCAAAGATAAAAGTCGCTCAGCGATGCTCGCTTGGCGTTCAGTACTCACGCCCAGAGATCAACTGGTGGTAATTTTACCCTACAATGCCAATCTGTGTGCACTCGCTTATAGCCCAGCGACAAAACTATCGGAACTACACACTCGCATCTCGCTGCTCGCCAACTCTTATCTAGTTTCTAGCTCTACTCGCTTCTCGTTCATCGTTGGCGGTAGGACAATAAGTGCCTAAGTTCGATATGCTACTTTCCTATCGACTACACGCGATTCGCTTGAATCCTATCTAAATGAAATTGCCGCGTCACTTTTTTAAATGGAAACGTTGACTTGAGATTTAAAGTTCATTTGATAACGTTAAAAGGAACAAAAAATTACCAAAAGATACTTGTATCCTTTACTTCGCATTCACTGTTCCACGATAAACTTTTGATATTTTATTGCGGTAATCCTAGCTATATGCCCAGTATGTTCTAAATAAAAGTCGGGGGAAAAGTTTCTTCGTATTTTATATACAAATTCAAGGCATTTTGTTACAAAGTTTAATTTCATATAATTATAATATATATGTGTCATTTTGTTCGATAACTCGTTGCCATCTTGTAAGTAGTAAGTCTTGTAAGTGTAAGTTGCTGTAGAGATCTTGGGACTTTCGACCAAAACAATGCAACGAATAGTTTTGACAGTCCTCTCTTGATGTTAACCTAGAATTCTTAGTCCGTAAAAAGTAGTGTACCAAAAGAATTCTGAAGAGACCAAAATAGGTGAAAATCTGAGAGGGCAAGGTCAGGATTATATGGTGGATGTAATAACACTTCCCAACCAAGCTCTCTCAATTTTTTTGCTGAGTGGCCAAATATGTGTGTAGTCTGGCGTTATCATGATTAACGTTTTTTCTCAATTTCTTGCTTGAGTTTCATTAGTTGTTGGCAGTAGAGATCCGAATCGATAGTTTTGCCCGGCGGTAAAAACTCATAATAAACGAAACCCTTCCAATCCCACCATAGCCATACACACAGCATCACCCCGGATTTTGTTATAGTCTGTGGAGCTTGACTACCCTTTGACCATGATCTTTTTCGCACGTTCTTTTGGTAGGTGATCCACTTTTCATCACCAGTAATCAATCTTTTCATAAATGGTTCGGTTTCATTACATTTCAGTAGAGAATCTCAAATGAGTACACGATTCATTAGGTTTCTTTCAGTGAGCTCGTGTGGTACCCAAATGTCGAGCTTTTTTCTATAGCCAGACTTTTTTAATGGGTCAAAGCTGTTTGTGGTCAATCCTCAGTTCCTCGGCTATATCGTAACTACTAATATGCTAATCTTGCTCTACTTTTTCAAAAATGGCATTGACTTTATCGGTATGAGGGCGAACAGAGCGAGCTGCATCTTTGATATCAAAATTCCCGAACTGAAAACGCTTGAACCAACTTTGTGCTATTCTTACTGACACCGCATTTCCATAAACGTCACAATTTTTTTTCGCAACTTGAGTTGCATTTTTACCTTTTTCAACCGATTTCAGAAAGCAGGAGGCTTACAATTCGTCTGAACCTTTTTTTATGTGTGTTCACCGATTATTCGAAGACGCCTGAACCGATTTATACTTTCCAGGTGGTCCCATTTATATTTTATCGAAATCGGTCAAGCGGTTTTAAAAAATCGACAATAATTTTATTTATACTGAAGTCGGTTGTACAAAAGTTGTGTATTGAACGGCAACATCTCTTGTGCCGAAAAATAACACATCAGATGTCCGAAAACCTCGAACATGGTTGCTTCCTGGTAATAATCGAGATCAGATGCCCGGATTGAATGCAAGAAAAATGCAATTAATGTTTTCATTTTCATTCAATCCGAGCTAGTAGCCGGGGCTTTTTAAGCGGATCCGTGAGATTTCGGTTGCATTGTTGTCTGAAACTATTTTGTAATATTACATCGAATGAAGAGGTTATTTGGACGGCATTAGTCCATACAAACGTGTTTCTCTGTTTTCTCTCTGGACTATGTATATCTCCCACTGCTGTGTTCCTTTGTATTTTTTTTCATAAATTAATTTAAAGAATTAGACAACTTTACAAAATTACTGAAACTTTCAAGTTATGCCACGGTTATTAGATAAATTTAACGGACTAAAAAATTAAAGAAAAACAAAGACACAGCCACAATCCTTCCAATATCGTTCTTAAGAAATTGGTCCAGTTTTGGAAGTGATAACCGCAATGCGGAGTGATGATTTCGTCTTTTTTATAGATAGAATAGTTTTACTTTCATATGTATAAATATAACATCTCGTATATACGAGTATGCAAGTATAACAGCGGCAGTTGCCCCTTTCGGTTGTCTAGCTAGGTCGTCAAGGCACAGAGCGACAGTAATAGATCGTTAGAACCATAGATATACTAACGTCAGTTTATACTAAATTTATGTTAAGAACTTATACTTAGTATTAGTTTCTTGGTGTCCAGATATCCTATTAATATTTTAAATATTTATTTGTTTCAGTTTTCGGTCTAAAGTAATTATGGGGACAGAAATATTTCTGGATCCCGCCCACGTCGCTGTATCCTTCGCATAAAAGTGAAGACTGAAAGTGCTGCTAATCAACAATTTATGTTTTTGTTATAGATTTATTTGTTATTTTGTATTTTTTTTTCAAAATTAACGAAAATATCTATTAAATGCTATGATTGTAATGAGTGTTTTGCTTCGAAAAAATTCCTTGAATATCCGTCAATGATATAACGAAGGTCACTATTTTGTCTTTATATTAATGTTTAATCTTAGTTAGATCATATTAAATTCTACTTATCTGTACACTAGTAATTATTTTCTACCACATTTTTTATTAGCCCCATACTGTGGCAGCACACATTCTAACGACGAATTCATATTCATAGACTACGTGGACTCCCAGATATTGATTGTAAAATCAATAGATAGATAAACAAGATTTTTTTAAATGGCGGCTACTTTTTTCATTTTTTAGGACAAATTCATATTCATACATGATTTGGACTCTGGGAGTCATAGTGATTTTAAAGGAATCGGACGAAGAACAAGAGTTTACAAATTGGCTTGTAGCAAATAACGGCAAAAAATGAAAGGATTATATAGTGAACGTGTGTGTGCATCAGCACATGTGCACTTTGTATTCCCTTACTCTCATAGTTCGATGATACGAATCCGACACGACCAGTGAGGGATTAGGCACAGGACCAAAAGGCAAAAACCCAATAACTGATTTTGACCTGGGATCACTTAATCAGCAGCCGCGCTTACGACCATTACACCAACAAGGCAGTCGATGTATTTATAAATCCAAATTTACTTCTTCATCATTACCAGCCTGTAAAGTCCACAGTTGGATCTTAAAATTAATCGTCACGCTTGATGAACAAATTCACAATCGAATACCAAGCCTATCGCAACTTGGATCCTGCTGCCCATCGCTGGTCTGGATATTTGATGTCTATATTCTATTATTATCGTTATACCATCGCTCTATAGGAAGCCTTGAAATATTTCTGGGGTTTCCCATAGTCACCTCTTATGACACCCACGGGACGAAATGTGGTTCTCTTACGCCGTCGCTACTACACGGCATTTAATTCCTCGTGTACTTGTTTAGCTTAAATGAAAAAAAAACTTATTTTTAATATCATATTTGGTGCGTATTATTCTTTCCGTATTTATTGCGGATTTGAATTACGCGTTATATAAAATGAATGTTAAAGTATTTGTAATTGGTTATGCCTCATACCCATTTACAACGTCTACAAAGGCACGTCAGGGTCACTGTCTGTGTACTGGACTTGATAAAAAGAAATATGAATAATTTGAAAATTAAACTGGTTTAAGATTAGATACAAATGTTATATGAATATTATTGTTAAAATAATACCCTATATAAAAGTAATGTTCTTACTTATTTTCCAGTTACTATAACATAATGAGGTATAGAGTTGTGTATACTTCTCAGCGCTCTTCCATATCTTCTGTGAGAGCGATAATTTTAATAATATTTTCAGGTGGAGACTGGGAGTTCTGTACTTACAATTCCTTCTATTTCTTTATCACCCCTGAGTGTAGAGTGGAGAGTATACTGCTGGGCATGGGCTTCCCCTCCTGCAGGAAAGATAAGCTATTACTACTTGTCTAGGCAGGCGGAGTGACGATCGCAGTACCACGTCTTTTAGAGTGCATTATTTTTGTAGTTATTGGTATTTATTTATGTTTTGACGACTGCGAGTCTAGTGAAGAACATATGACATATGAATATATTGGTACTCCCAACAACTACCGGCTTAGGTGTGACGTAGACTTTTCACATGACTTTTGTTTTGTCCATGTTCATCTTAAAACCTATCCGTTGGGAGACACTATTGAAGTCATTAAGCATAGTTATTAGGGATAGCTTCGGGTTGGAGTCGAAATAGTATGAAAACAGATGAGAGATGAGTGTGTAAG